GATAGAGAGCTAGAAACGTCGATGAGAGAGAAACATCGACCAGCTGCCTCCTGCACACCCCCACCGGGGATGTGCCGGCAACCAATGTACATGCCCCCAACCGGAATCGAACCCGGGACCTTTCAGTCCACAGACCAATGCTCTACCACTGAGCCAAACCGGCTTCGGCCCTTCCTTTATTTCTTTAATTTAAAGATTATTGAGATTTAACTCTTTTTTTAAATATATTTTTTGTTGACTTTAGAGAGAAAGGGAGAGAAATAGAGGGATAGAAATATCAGTGATGAGAGAGAATCATTAATTGGCTGCCTTCTACATACCCTCCACTGGGGATCGAGCCCACAACCCAGGCAGGTGCCCTTGACCGGAATCAAACCCAAGACTTTCAGTTTGCAGTCTGGTGCTCTATCCACTGAGCCAAACTGGCTAGGGAATTATTCATTTATTTTTAACTTATAGTTAACATAAAGTATTATATTAGTTTCAAATAAACAACAGAGCAATTAGACATTTTTATACCTTACAGAGTTATCACCCCATAAGTCCAGTACACATCTGGCACCACACATCGTTATTACGATATTATTGATTATATTCCCTATGCGGTACTTTACATCCCTGTGACTAATTTTATAGCTGGAAGTTTATACTTTCTAATACCTTTCACCTTTTCCTCCCATCTGCCCTCTCCTAGGTTGTAATATGTCTTTGCCTGTACCTTAAGTTTTTTTTTCTTAAGTAGGCTTATAGAGGTATACCTTACATGAAATAAAATCCAGCTTTGTGCCCTGGCTGGTGTGGCTTGGTTGGGTGTCAACCCTGTAGAGTTGCTGATTTGGTTCCCAGTCAGGGCACATGCTTCAGTTGCAGGCTCCATCCTGGTAGATGGCATGTAGGAGGCAGCTGATTGACATTCCACCTCACATCGTGTTTCTCTCTTTCCCTCTCCTTTTCTCTCTCTCTAAAAAATCAATAAAAATATTTTTTAAATTCAGTTTTGTTAGGTGTACAAGCTTATGAATTTTACAAACACATACAGTTGTATAACCACCTACGGAATATATCCATCATTCCAAAACGTTCTTGCCCTGGCCAGTATTTCCCAGTGGCTAGAACATCAGTGCACACACAGAAGTGTCTCAGATTCATTTCCTGGTCAAGGGCACATACCTGGGTTGTTGGTTTGATCCTTGGGCCTGGTCAGGGAGTGTGCAGGAGGTAACCAATTGATGTGCCTCTCACATCAATGTTTTTTCCCCTCTCTGTCTTTCTCCCTCTCTCTCTCTATCTCTTTCTTTCCCTCCCTCCCTTCCTTTCCACTCTCTAAAAAATCAATAGAAGAAAATATCCTTATCTACTCACCTGTAAACAGGCATTTGGCTTGTTTCTACTTTTTTTTTTTAGCAATTACGAAAAAATGTAGTATTCATAATGTAGGTTTTTGTGTGGACATATATATTTTCATTTCTCTTGAGTAAATACATAGAGTGGGATAGCTAGGTCACTTTTTTAGGCTATTCTGATAAGTGTGTGTGTGTGTGTGTGTGTGTGTGTGTGTGTGTGAGATATCTCACTGTTTGCTGGTTCTTTTCCATGTTTTTTAATCTGCATTCCCCTAAGACATAATGATGTTGAACACCTTTTCTAGTGCTTATCTGCCATCTGGATATCTGCGTTGGTGAAAAGACCTTTCATGTCTGCCGGCCAGGTTCTAGCTGAATTGCTTGCATCTTTACTGCTGAGTTTTGAGAGCTATTTATAGGTTCTAGAACTGGTTCTTTGTCAGACATGTGGTCATTCTCACTCTTCCTCCTCTTTCACAGAGCTGAGTTTTTAATTTTGATGAAGTTTGATGAAGTTCTTTTTATCAGTTTTTCCTGTCAGGGTCATGCATTTGTCATCAAATCTAAGAACTGTTTGCTTAGCCCCAGATCTCAGAGATTTTCTCCTGGTTTTATTTTATTTTAATATTTTTATTGATTTCAGAGGAAGAGGGAGAGAGAGAGAGATGGAAACATCAATGATGAGAGAAGTTCATTGATTGGCTGCCTCTTGTACTCCCTACAGCTGGGAACGAGCCTGCAACCCGGGCATATGTCCTGATCAGGATTCAAACCTAGTTCACAGGTCGATAATCAGTGAGCCATGCCGGCCGGGTTCTCCTGTTTTTATTTTAGAATAATCTGAATCCACTAAAATTTTTGCTGCGATTTTGATAGTGATTACATTCAACCAGTATATCCATTTGGGGAGAATTTGCATATTTACTATGTTGTGTCTTCTACTCCATGAACGCAATATGTCTCTCCATTTTCTTGTATCAGTGTTGTGAAGTTTTCTGCGAGCAAGCCTTGTAGTACATGTTTTGCTATCGTTATTTTAAATGTCTCACTGTATGTGTAGACCATCTCTGGGAGGACGCAAGAGCCTGGTCACAGTGGCTGGGCAGGAGCGGGCTGAGTGGGACTGGGAAGCGTGGGACAGGTTTGGGAGAGGGATTTACTTCAATATACTTTCACTGCATAGTCATTTGTATCTTTTGAGTTTAATATCATGTGAAGAGATTAACTCTTCAAAAAAATCAATAAATTCATTTTTAAATGCTTAGGTAAGGGGAGAAAGAGAGAGAGAGAGAGAGAGAGAGAGAGAGAGAGAGAGAGAGAGAGAGAGAGAGAGAGAGAGAGAGAGAGAGAATATGAATGAGTCTTTGTTCCCTGAGCACAGACTGGACATCCAGGGGGCAACAGCACAAGACCAAGGGCCCAGGAAAAGTTAAATGTTGTACTTCTTCAGAAATATATGTGGATAGAACCAAAGGATTTCACAGAGGAGCCCGGGTGGGGAACCTTTTTCTTGCCAAGGGCCATTTGGGTATTTATAACATTATTTCAGGGCCATACAAAATGACCAACTTAAAAATTAGCCTGCTATATTTGGTCAGACATTTAATTAACTCACCTCTAATGCCTCTGCAGGGCCAGACCAAATGTTTTTATGGGTCTTACACGGCCCATGGGCCAGACATTCCCCACCCCTGTGTTAGAGACATCCCCAGACCCGTGTTTATTGTGTGGCAGAGGGGAAATCAATCTGAGAACAAACATTTGCTGAGAAGAAATCTGTAAATACTCTGGGGCATACGTTAGCCGTGAGCACTGAGAAAGCAGCGTGGGGACCGGGGAGCAGCCAGCACTCCTTCCTGTCATCAGGCTGACGTGCTGTGCCTCCTCTTGTCCTTGGTGAGCGCCTTCCCCTGCCATACTCACCCTCCCGCCCAGGCCTTATCCAGAGGAATACACTAGGTGTCTGGCCTCTGGGTTCTACAGGCAGTGCCCAAGGTGCCCAGCAACCTGGCCCCGGTCCCCACCCGTCTGTGACTCAGAGCTGCTCTTCTCGCAGCCTTCGGGATAGCAGGGATCTTGCTTGATCCCTGTTTCTTCCCAGAGCATCCAGCATCCTACCTGGAACCTTCCTATCCCTGGGCCAGAGGGAGCATCTATACCTGGGCTCATTTAGCCCTTAAAAGCATTGGTGGTGATTATAATCTCACTCATCTTTAAGGGCTCTCTTTCTGTCTGTCTTCCTCCAAATCATAGCTCCCATTTGATCCTCATAGCAACCCCAAAGGACAGATCTGATCCCCAATCTTAACTAATAAAAGAAGAACATGCAAATCAGCCATCACTCTGCTATGCCCACAGCCAATCAGGGAATATGCAAATTAGCACAATAAAGATGGAAGATAATTTGCATATGCAGGCAGGGAGCAGTGGGGAGGGACAGAGTCCCCTCAGCCCCTCAGCCGCCCAGGGCTGGCCTGAGGCACAGGCAAACCTCAGATGTCGGCTGCCCAGCCGTTTAGGGCTGGCCCAAGGTACAGGCAAGCCTTGGATGGCAGCTTCCCAGCCACCAAGGGCTGCCCGAGGCTCAGGTAACCAGGGCCAGCCAAAGCTTGTACTGCCAGCAGTGGTAGCAGCAGAGGTATGATGGGGGCGTTGCCTTCCCCTGATTGCTGGGTCACCTCTCACCTCTGAGGGCTCCTGGACTATGAGAGGAGGCAGGCTGGGCTGAGGGACCCCCCTCCAGTGCATGAATTTTCATGCACCTGGCCTCGTCCTATATAATAAAAGCCTAATATGCTAAGTGTTCAGTCAACCAGTTGGCTGTTCAACCAATCAAAGCATAATATGCTAATGATATGCTAAGGCTGCTCAACTGCTCACTATGATGTACACTGACCACAGGGGGCAGATGCTCTGACTGATAGGTTAGCTTGCTGCTGGAGTTGGACTGAGTGAGAAGGGCCAGATACACCCTGGAGCCTTCCTATGGTCCCTCCCCAACTGGCCAACCTCCTGCGTCCCTCCCCGGCCCCAATCATGCACCAGTGTGGTCTCTCAGCTTGGCCTGCACCCTCTTGCAATCTGGGACCCCCTTAGGGGATGCTGGAGAGCCAGTTTCAGCCCGATCCTGCTGGCCAGGTTGAGGGACCCCACTGGTGCATGCATTCCTGCACCGGGTCTCTAGTATGACATAACAAGCTAGAACTTAAAATCCATGTCACCTGACACTAAATTAAATCTTTCAACGTGTTATCATTTGTGGTGAACTCATTTGGTTATCTGTAGATGGGGAAGAGAAACATAATAGTTCTCCTAAGTAAGCTAAGAAAATGAAGCCGATGATTGAGGGTACATTCTCCCCTGGGTGGAGGAGGGATTCTTCCAGATAGGCCTCAGCTCCTTTAGGTGAACAGGGAATCGGCAATTAGATTATGGAGTCAGAGCATAACAATGATCTTCTAGGTGAAGAGAGGCCCTCACCCCCAGAGGCTAACGTGCAGGCACCTGGCAGAGCCTCTCCGTTTCTGCAGAGTGCCCTGAACGTCCAGCAAAGATGCAGTTATGCCGCGCAGAATCTCCCAAATAAGTGGGCCGAGATGTCATTTCCCAGCGGATGGACAAGCCGCAGACCACAAAGCCTGTTCTCTTTCTTCCTAGAGTGACCCTGGGGTCTTCTTTGTGTGCGCTTTGCGACGCTGATTGACGCATGTGCAGCTTGGGACACTGGAGGTTTCCTTCCCGCCACCTCCCCTGGAGCTGTGAGAAGGAGGCTGCATGAGGCAGAGACGGTGAGTGGGGCTTGGGCCTGGGGCTGGTCTGGGAGGGGTGAGGGTGGGGGCCGGTTCTTGACTCTTGCTCTTACTCTTTAATGAGAGGAGATTCTTTGCCTGGCAGCCCCCCACCCCAATCTTTCGAGGGGACATGTTCATTCTCCCCGGGTTAGGACACAGGGCCAGACCTTGAGGCTCTCCTATGGCGTTGGGAGGGCGTGTGCTCCTTTTCCCCCAGCAGGTGCTGTCAGCTGGCTTAGTCTTGCCATTGTCACAACCTGCCATTGTCACTTTACTGGAAAAGTGTGGAAACAGCTTTGTTTGTGCCCTGCACCCCTCTCTCACTTAGCCTGGGAGCTTCCTGAGTGACAGCCCCCGCATATGGGGGGCAGTCTGAGGACCCCTCCCCTGGGCGGAGCTTTGGGCCCCAGCAGATGGACGGCTGTCCAGGGAGCAGTAAGAGGCTCAGGCCCACGTCCCTGAAGCCACACTCTGTGTCCAGGGTTTGCATTGTTCCCGTCTGGGTTACAGCTTCCTGCGGCTCCCAGAGTCCCTGTTTCAGTCTCAGCCGGGGGAGGATGTGCAAGAAGTGAGGGTGTTACAGGAGACCCGAGAAGAACCAAGCAACGCTTAGAGAGATGGAGTTACACGTTATTATTACGCGCGGGCTGAGAGAAACTGTATTTCAAATTCCGGCCCCAACATGGAGGGACTTTCCCTATTTATATGTTTTTACCCTCTTTGTCTCCCAAATATGGGTGTTTCCGGTCCCCTTTGCAAGTTCTTAAAGAGCCCCTGTGTGCTGGGGCTTTGAGACCTTAACCAAAGGCTTGGCCTGGCGCCAGCACTGATAACTTCGTCCGGGGAAGGTTTATGGCCTCTCTGGAGTCGTCTTATTTTCCTTATTACATAAGCAAGCAGGCATTTACAGAAGCCAAAATAGCAGGGTTAAAGTGTCAAACAGCAGTTTTTATGTAAAATGGATGCTTCAAGGGCTATAATTTTAACCAAGGAGTCACTGGCAGTGGCCCCGCATTAGCGTGCTGAAGGCTGCAGGCTGGGGATCTATCTGAGGGGGCGGGGGGGGGGGGGGGGGGGGATGGCAGTCTACCTGGGGCCTGAGCAGAGGAAGGTTTCCATATTCTTGAGTTTGGGCCTCTTTGCAGTTTGTCTTTCTCGCTCCGGCTCCGGTTCTGATGACTTCTGCTATTCTCCCAGAAAGAGTTGGAGGTGGTGCTGGGAGGTTGCGGGAAGGAGGTTGAAAGGTGGGAGCAGAAATGCTGATGACGTGGATTTGGGGTCTGGACCAAATCCAGCTCGACTTGCTTTGTGACCACAGGAGAGTTTCTGATGACTCCAGGCCTGAAGTTTCTGGCTTATCCAATGGGGTTAACAACGAGCATCTTGTTGTAACGATTAAGTTAAGATTAAACATGCACAATGTCAGTACATGTGAGTTACTGTTACCTATCATATCAGCAGCAGCTCGGATGCACTGGTCTATCAGGGTAGCGTCTGTGTGGCCCTGTGAGGGCCACGGCTCACGTAGAACAGTGCCGGCTTTAGGACCAGCGGGGAAACCCATCCGCCCACAGGGCTTTTCACATGGTCATTGTTACTGGATTCTGAGCATGAATGTGCTGACTGATCATGGTGGGGAGGGGCCCCACTCCTTAGTTTTGCTGTATTTGGAGGACTCTGCTTGCAAACATGGTCTACCAGGTTATTTTAAGGGGCATGCGAAGATGTGTACAACAGTGTAGGGACAGACCCTCCCCATTTTTTGACAGAACTGGGAGTCAGTCCAGCTTTGTGTCATTGTGTCCCCTCTCCTGGCACTTTGTCATGTGCCCTCCCTATTTGCTGTCCCTATGCCCACCCCCCAAACCCCTCCACCGCCCTCCCTAGGCACACACATTCTGCTTTCCCAACCAGATCCCTGCCTGAGGAGCCCGGAGCCACGCCCTCCTCTGATGGTGGCAGCAGCACTTCCGCTGGGCGCTGAAGCTAACTTGTTCTCCCCTCGCACCTCTGGGCATTTTACTGTAATCAGCAAACCCCAGTGTTGGTGCAGAGCTTTCTCTTTACAGCGGTGTGTCTGTTTACATTAACTGTGCCATTTCACTTTCACGACAGTTCTGTGATGTGAGCAACACTGGTGTCACCATGGAACAAACTGAGGCTCACAGAGTTCTCTCTCCCAGGCTCACAGCATTCCTTAGCCACTGGGGCCGCAGGAGAGCTCCGTGGACTGTCCTCTGCCGAGACACCACACTGCCTCCTCGGTCTGAGGCACGCGCTCATGAGAGGTCAGAGGACTTGGAGGCACTCAGAGAAAGCTTTAAAAAAGAAAAAAGAGCCCTCGCCGGTTTGGCTCAGTGGATAGAGTGTCAGTCTGTGGACTGAAGGGTCCCAGGTTCGAATGCAGTCAAGGGCATGTACCTTGGTTTCGGGCACATCCCCATTAGGAGGTGTGCAGGAGGCAGCTGATCAATGTTTCTCTCTCATCAATGTTTCTAACTCTCTATTCCTCTCCCTTCCTCTCTGTAAAAAAAAACCAAGATATATTAAAAAAAAAAAAAGAAAGAAAGAAAGAAAGAAAGAAAAAGAAAAGAAAAAAAAGAATGCAGAAAACATGCAAAGCAGGGACCTGCAGCTTTTGAGTGGACAATACGTTCTGCGAGAAGGGGATCTGATCCAGTTTCTTCAGAGGATGATCACCATCATTACAATAATCAGCATAGTGGGTGCTCCCCACGCACCAGACACTATGTGCTGTGCTCCATGTGTGTTTTCCTTAGAATTCTCCTCACAACAACCCAGTGAAGTCGGTGCCATCATTACCCACATTTTCCTGTGACAAATACAAAAAGACTAAGGAAGGTGTTCCAAGTTCCATACCTAAGCAATTGCAGCATCTGCTTCGACTCCCACCGCGCACCCTGGGACCCGCAGTGCTGGCCATTGCATTGGGCTGCAGCGTATTTTCAGTGGCTTGTTCCAGATCTTCCTGAAACTCTGCATAATTGTTTCTGAGCAGCTCCCGGTGGGACTCTGATTTGCCCCTCCTGGTAGGAAGCCCCTGAAAAGCGAGTCCTCGGTTTAGTGCTCCTCCTTTCCTCTGGCTCTTGTCCTTTTGTTGGGAGGCCGCTGCCATCTGGAGCCGCCCCAGGCATCTGCTCAGGAGCACGCTCCTCCCACTTCCCCTCCCCCCAGCTCCAGGCAAGCACCTTCCTGCACTCAGGCTAATCCCCCACCCTCCTCTCCCCACCCCAGTGCTTCAGCTCCTGTCCGCCGGGCCTTCAATTTCCCCGAATGGATGCATTTGGTTGATTGCATTCACACTCCTAAGCCCCCTGCCTGTTGGTGAGAATTCGGGCCTCATCTCTCCAGAAATATGGCCACAGGCAGCCTGGGCTCAGGGCAGCTGTGTGTTGGTTGGGGGAGGTTCCCATGGAGCTGCATTAGGAATGGTCTGTATTGCTCCCCACCCTCTGCCCAGGACCAAGTTCAGGCCCCCGAAACAGCACCCGCGCTTGGCCACTGTTTCTGTGAGCGCAGAGACCCGCAGGACTAGGTGAGGGGCTGTGAGTGGCAGCAGTGAAATCTATTCCCCTCAGTAGCTGGTGTTATCTCCTGCTTCTACCCATCTTAGTTTTATTAACCCTTACCCGAGAATATTTTTGCCATTGATTTTTTAGAGAAAGTGGAAGGGAAGGGGAGAGAGAGAAACATCGATGCGAAAGAGACAAATTGATTGGTTGCCTCCCACATGCACCCCGACCTGGGCTGGGGATTGAACCTGCAATTGAGTTACGTGCCCAAGGCCCTCTGGTGCTCTAACCACTTACCAACACCGGCAGGGCTAAACCCATCTTTGCACTGGAGGCTGGGCTGATGGGTTTGGGACAGCATGTCACTCTGGATTTCGGTTTCTCAGGAGGACCGTAGACTAGAGCAGAGGGAGACCCCTCTGCACGCTGATGTCTAGCTTACTCGGGGCGTGAGACACAAAGCTCCCCTCTGCCACTGGAGCCGACAGTGTCTGGTGTAAGTATCGTGGCTGCCAGCACTTTGCACCAGGCTCCTAGACAAATGGTGTGTCTTGTAACGCAGGAAGCAGCCTTCCCTGTGGGTTCCAGTTCCCCGCTCCGGGCTCCTGTATTTTCACGTCTCCCCCGGCCTGTAGCAGCCTGCTGGGCTGGCGGTGGGACCCAGACTGATGTCTGTGTTGGATGTAAATGCAGAGGGAGGTGGGGGAACAGATGCTGCTTTCTCCTGCTGTCTTAGCCCTCCCTCCTCCCACTCCCTCACCCACCCCCCTTCATCATATCAGAAAGGAATTTTGAAGATGCAACTGGGGATATGCTATCCGGGAATATCGGCAGGTAGATCAACATTGCCAGCAGGATAGAGTCACCTCTGAAGAACTGACCCCGCTTCTCTCTGGGACCACCTCCAGGCAGGTGCAGTTAAGGTCACAGGTCAAGGGGCATTGATGGAAGGAGCTGGCATGAATAAGGAGATGTGAAGGGCTTTGGTTAAGGAGACCCTGGCAGGGCAGGAGAGAGGGGCGCCCAGAGCTGCTTTGGGATCTTGATGGCCCGGGATCTTTCAGGAGCCTCCCCGTCCTCTGGTGCTTGTGCAGAGGACCATATGCTGGCTCTAAGAGTGAAGAATGACTCCTTGGGCCCAGAGCCAGCATACGGTGATTTGCACAGGCATTGTGTATTCTGTAGGCCTACAAAGTAGATTTGTAGATTCGAAAGCCGAGCTTGTCCGACAGCATTTAGCGAAGTAGTACAGCAGCTGTAACTTGGGGGAAAAGGTAAGGACCAATGGTTTTTGAATGCCAAGTTTGTGTCAAGTCTTGGGTTAGATGCTATCTGTATACATTAGCCCAGTGGTTGGCAAACTCATTAGTCAACAGAGCCAAATATCAACAGTACAACGATTGAAATTTCTTTGGAGAGCCAAAATTTTTAGACTTAAACTTCTAACAACAGTTCTTCAAAATA